AACTAAATGTGATAGTTTAAGAGTTTTATGCACAAAATTTGCAACTAATGTGATAGTTTAAGAGTTTTATGCACAAAACATAGTTTATGGGGTTAATTGCAAATTTAGACATAGTTGAGGGTTCTTTTTTTTTTTTTTTTTTTTTTTGCATTTTACCTTATATATATTCAAATAATATATTAGTTAATAGTTATTTAATGAACTCTAAAAATGTAGTATTATTTAAATATATGAATTAATGTTAATATTTATTATTAGGATATTTCAATTTGGGATTATTGAGGAATCTAAAAAATTCACCAAATCCTTGGTGTGAATTGAGTTGTGAAGAATTTATGTGAACTTCGAAATTGGCACAACGTTAGGTTTGGCCCGGGCCAACCACTTCACCCGCCCAACTGCCGAACCCCCATTTGGGTTTTGTTCGGTTCAAATTAGAGCAAAACGACGTGTCAACTTTCTTTAATTTTTAAAATCGGAACCAACTATTCATCGCAAAACCGATTTGGTTCGGTGTGATCTAGTTTACCGAGTCCAACGGACAAAATGTAAACGACGGTTGTTTGGATTTTTTTTTTTTTTTGGTGACTTTAGGGCTTTGGATTTTTGCGTGGAAACTGGTGGCTCAAATTCTAGACAGTAACATCAACGACCTTGAGGGCAAAATTCAAGAGAGGGACACTATGATGGTTAACGATGTAGAAGACAAGTATCGATCGGGCGGTCAATTATAGTGGCGTTGGATACTTGATTCAGGACTGGACCGGTCACCTTTACCAGCGCACGTTTCTCTCTCCCCCGAAATTCTCAGACCATTGTTATGCAGGTTCCAGGTGATCATTTTTTTTAGCCTTGTTGCTCAAGTTGATAAATTTATTGTTCGATTTCTGGTTTTGCAATGCTCATAAATCCACTGTTGCACATATTAGAGATAGGAAATTTGATTTTTATTTTTTCATCTTCTCCACCACCAGTTGATGAAAATAATAATTACATTCCAGTATAATCACAGCAGGCAAAAAACGTGGATCATTTAGCTTTAACAATAACTATTCCCTTGATTTTTCTAATCAATTAGTAAATCTTTATCCCAAAGTTATTTCAGCTTTGAGTCATAGACACTAATTAACAAAATTAGACAAAATGAACAGATTAGGTAGCGAACATTGTAAAGATGAAATAAGAACATAAGATGCAAATAATTGAAACTACATTTTTACATATTGGAGATATGTAATTTTTCGTTTTTTTTTTTTTTTCCGACACTTGATGAAATTTGAGACTTGTACATAGTAGAACTAAAGCAGGCAAAAAACTTGGTTCATTTAGCAAAAACAGGAACTATACTATTGATTTTTCTGATCAATCACTCAAAATCCTTTTTTTTCAAATTTATTACAAGGTCTGGTCATAAACAAACTAATGCAACAAAAACTAGATCAAGGAAAAACAAGGAGGAACTAAAAAATAAAAACTACAGGGCACTTAGAAAAGAAGTAGGACTAGGGGGTGCTGGGATGTCTACAGTTCCTTCCAGCATCAATAATACCTTCTTCATTGAAGGGCGGAGGGATGGCTCCTCTTGAATGCACCAGAGGCCTACTTTAACCATTCTCTCCAGTTTTCGCTTGTCAACCTGCTCATCACCCACAAGTTTACTAATCTCACCAGCGTTGAAACAATCGTAAACCCATTCTTCAAGAACAGCTTCATCCTCTGGAAGGCTCCAATCCACACTCCTCCGGCAACATATGATCTCAAACAACACAATTCCAAAGCTGTAAACATCTGCTTTAACTGTCACTGGCAGTTTACGATGCCACTCAGGTGCGACATAACCCTTTGTACCTCTAATCCCGGTAAAGGTCCTAGTCTCATCAGGCCTTAGGAGCTTTGCCAATCCAAAATCAGAAATTTTTGCACGCATGTATTCATCCATGAGTATGTTTTGAGGTTTAATGTCACAATGGATGATTTGTGTTTCACACTCTTCGTGCAGGTAAAGAATGCCTCTGGCAATGTCGAGAGCAAGTCCAATTCTTTCATCCCAACTCAGCCGGTTTTCAGGCACGAAGAGTATACCTGCAAGTGACCCATTGCTTGTGTATTCATACACCAGAAGCCTCTTGGGCCCATCAAGGCAGTAACCAAGCAGCCGGACTAGATTCCGGTGATGGGTTTTCCCAATCACTCTCATCTCAGTCTGAAATTCCCATTCCTCTTCTGCTAACACTTTCTCGAGTCTCTTCACAGCCACCATTTTCTGACTTGACAACATAGTACCTTTATAGACCTTCCCAAAATATCCACTACCCAATTCTTCGCTGAAACCGTTTGTTACTTGCTCTAGTTCTGCATAAGTGAATGCTCTTGGAGCAACATCCTCGACCAATTCAACATTCCCCTTCTCGGAGATCTTCCTATATGCGCACACGTGATTTCTGTATAGGACTCTAGAAATCACCAACACAACAAATGCCAAAGCAAAAAGAGAAATACTGATGATCAAAATGTCCAATCTTAGCCCTTTCTTGGTTTCTTTAGGCTTTTCAACCGGGACTCCATTCATGATGTGTTTAGACGTTCCCACCTTGATGAGAGCAATTGTTGGTTCACTCAGCAATCTTCTTCCATGTTTCAGAGGAAGCTTCTGCTTTCTGCACTCTGTGCCATTGTATAGTGCAGCCTCACAGTTACAATCCTCCAAACAGGCTTCTTCACAATCTTCTTCGGTTGGCACTGAGAATGACACTGAGTATTGATTATTTGCCCACAAGGTGTTACGTAATGGCCACATCGCATACTTGACATTCGCCTCCTTGTCTTTGCAACTGGCTGCTGTGAAATTCCTCTCACAACCTGAACTCCACTTGCCTGGATCAACAAAATCGAATCCTGGAAGACATTTACAAACAGCTTCCTCATCCATTAAAACACAAAACCCATTAAGGCCACATAGACCTTTAGGCTGACACTTATCATTTGAAGAATGCCATAGAACTGACCAGTTGCCTTTCTGATCCAAGCTGTGTGAATAAACCCGGAAGATACCATCCACATCAATTCTCATCAGATAGATCATTCCTTCTTTAGGATTTCCAACTATTGTTAGGTTTGTTAGGATGGAACTTGTGTTTTGTAAGTAGAGATGACCATCATCATCAAGATTGAGGCTCACGCTGTTTCCTGCTCCAGCCGTGCCAGACGCCCAGTAAGCCTTACTGAATGTGAGCTGATCGTCATCCGGATACTGCACAAGGTTGCCATCCTGTTGCATCGCGAGAAGAAATATACCTCTCGACTGGTCAGTATCCGAAGCACTAGAGTAGAGATGTGCCCCAGGTGAGAGTTGCTGACCGGGCAAAAGTGTCTGTTGGGTGCTCAAAGCTCTGCCATATGATCTGTTGATTGGAGTTATAGAGCACAAAATTGCCTGAATCAAGCATGGAAGCCGAAGAAGTGGATTGGTCAATTGTAGCTATATATATTTCTTGGCCTTGTGTTGGCTGCAAGAATAATCGTCCATCGGTTGAGAATAGCAAAGTGGTATTGCTGGGGACTACCCGCTGATGGTAGTCTCTGTTGGCTGTCCAGACCACAGTCTTTTCAGGAATTCCAGCAAGAAATATGCCAACAGCATAGCCGTTGGCTTGCTTGTAGAAGCCGAAGGCATATAGGCCGGAACTGGATAGCCAATAGGAGTGAGTACTGGTGGGTGTTAGTAAAGAACCTAAGCTTATATTGGATTGTCTTTGTTGAGCTAATGTTGTATGCAAAGCAGAGAGAAGAAGAAAAAACAAGATAGGAATTACCATCTTCTTTTTCTATTTTCTCCTCTGCAGTTTGTTGGGTGCTAAGTTGCTGTTTTATACTACTATAATACTAATTTAGGGGTTTGTTCCAAATGATTCCTCAGACTGAAAATCCTTTGCAGTCAAGCCGTATCGAAATTAATCTAGATCCACTAAACTGTCTATGCAGTCAAGTCAAAAAAAATTTCTAGTCTACCTTCTATGAATTAGAAATCTTCAAATTGCTTGCATAGTGCAGAATGTGAGAGTCTCTCTCTCTCTCTCATATAATGGACTTTTTTTTCTTTCTAGTAGTTAATGGTGATCTTAGAATTCAACTTATATGCTTTGCAGTTTAGAAATTCCTATGATGAAGTGCTGCAAGTTTGAAGGTTCTACAGTTGACTGATTCTCTCTCTCTCTCTCTCTCTCTCTCTCTCTCTCTCTCTCATATAATGGACTTTTTTTCTTTCAACTTATATGCTTGAAGTGCTGCAAGTTTGAAGGCTCTACAGTTGACTGAGATCAACCAAAGAATTTTTAAATATTACAATACATGAAAGACAACCAAGTATAAAATTAGTGGCGTTGAATATTTGATTCAGGTGGACCACCTTTACTGTAAATATGAATGATTTCTATTTTCATCTTAGCTAATTTGTTTGTTTTCTCTAATTTTGTTAATAGTGTCTTTGACTCAAAGTTGAAATAACTTTGAATAAACTGGAGCACAAGATCAGAAACTCCTTTGTAAACTGGACCACAATGGTGCCTACAATTCTAGACACTAACATCAACGACCTTTTCTCCATTGGAGATCAGACCACACATTGAGGGCAAAACTCAAAAGAGGAACACTGTGATGGTTGACGATAAGTGGCGTTGAATAAATAGATTAGCTATAGAGCATTATACTCGAGATGAAAAATAGAATATGAGACTGTGATGGTTGACAGTGAGGAAGGCCGAGCATTGAACGACGGTCAATTAGTGGCGTTGAATACTTGATTCAGGTGGACCACCTTTACTATAAATATGAATGATGATCTATTTTCATCTTAGCTAATCTGTTTATTTTCTCTAATTTTGTTAACAGTGTCTTTGACTCAAAGTTGAAATAACTTTGAATAAAGATTTACTAATTGATTAGAAAAATCAAGAGAATAGTTCCTATAAAACTAAATGATCTGCGTTTTTGCCTGCTATGGTTATACTGGAATGTGATATTATTTTCATCAATGGGTGAAGAAGAAGAAAAGAAAAAGTAAAAAAGAAAGATCAAATTTCCTATCTCTAATATATGCAACAGTGGATTTATGAACTTGAGAAATAAGACTAAAAAATTAGGACAACCTACTGGAAAATGCTCTGAGAATTTCATAGGAGAGAACCGTGCTATACAAGCTGAATCAGTTTATGCAAATAATTGTAACTACATTTTTACATACTGGAGGTAAGTAATTTGATCTTTTCTTTCCATCTTTATTTCGCCAGTTGATGAAATTTAATCCTTATACACAGTGCAACTCAAGCAGGCAAAAAAAACCATAGCTCATTTAGCAATGACATGACCTCTAATCTTGATTTTTCTGATCAATCAGTCAAATCTTTATTCAAATTTATAACAAGTCGGGTTCATATAAAAACTAATGCAACAAAAACTAGAGGAAAAACAAAGAGCAACTAAAAAAACTAGAGGAAAAACGTAGGATTGGGAAGTATTGGGATTCCTACGGTTCCTTCCAGCATCATTAAAACTTTCTTCATGGAAGGGCGGAGCGATGGCTCATCTTGAATGCACCAGAGGCCTACTTTAACCATTCTCTCCAGTTTTCGCTTGTCAACCTGTTCATCACCCACAAGTTTAACTATCTCACCAGCATTGAAACAAACGTAAACCCATTCTTCAAGAACGGCTTCATCCTCTGGAAGGCTCCAATCCACACTCCTTCGGCAACATATAATCTCAAACAACACAATTCCAAAGCTGTAAACATCTGCTTTAACTGTCGCGGGCAGTTTACGATGCCACTCAGGTGCAACATACCCCTTTGTTCCTCTTATCCCTGTAAAGGTCCTAGTCTCGTTAGGCTTTAAGAGCTTTGCCAATCCAAAATCGGAAATTTTGGCACGCCTGTACTCATCCATGAGTATGTTTTGAGGTTTGATGTCACAATGGATGATCTGTGTTTCACACTCTTCGTGCAGATAAAGAATGCCTCTGGCAATGTCCAGAGCAAGTCTGATTCTCTCCTCCCAACTGGGCCGATTTTCAGGAGCGAAGAGTATATCTGCAAGTGATCCATTGCTCATGTATTCATATACAAGAAGCCTCTTAGGCCCATCAAGGCAGTAACCAAGCAGCTGGACAAGATTCCGGTGATGGGTTTTCCCAATGACTTTCATCTCAGTTTGAAATTCCCTTTCCCCTTCTGCTAACACTTTCTCGAGTCTTTTCACAGCCACCATTTTCAGACTTGACAACATAGACATAGTACCTTTATAGACCTTCCCAAAAGATCCACTACCCAACTCTTCCTTGAAACCATCTGTTACTTGCTCTAGTTCTGCATAAGTGAATGCTCTTGGAGCAAATTCCTCACCCAATTCAATATTTGGCTTCTCAGAGATCTTCCTGTATGCCCACACACTACTCCTGTATATAAGGACTCCAGAAATCACGAAGACAACAAATGCCAAAGCAACAAGCAAAATACTGATAATGAGAATGTCCATTCTTAGCTCTTTCTTGGTTTTTTTATGCTTATCAATTGGGACAACATTCATGACGGGTTTAGATGTTCCAACCTTGATGAAAGCAACTGTTGATTCAGTTGACAATGTTCTTCCATATCTCAGAGGAAGACTCTGCTTTCTGCATTCCCCATCGTTGTACAGTGCACCCTCACAGTTACAATCCTCCAAACAGGCTTCTTCACAATCTTCTTCCGTTGGCACTAATAATGACATTGAATATTGATTATTTTCCCACCAGGTGTTACGTAATGGCCACATCACATACTCAACATTTGCTTCCTTTTCTTTGCAACTTACTGCTGTGAAATTCCTCTCGCAGCCTGAACTCCACTTGCCTGGATCAACAAAATCAAATCCTGGGAGACATTTACAATCAGCTTCCTTATCCATTAAAACACAATACCCATTAATGCCACATAGACCTTTAGGCTGACACTCATCATTTGAAGATTGCCATAGAACTGTCCAGTTGCCTCTCGGATCCGAGCTGTGTGAATAAACCCGGAAGATACCATCTGCATCAATTCTCATCAGATAGATCATACCTTCTTTAGGATATCCTCCTGTTGTTAGGTTTCTTAGGATGGAATTTTTGTTTAGCAAGTAGAGACGACCATCATCATCAAGATTGAGGCTCACGTTGTTTCCTGCTCCAGGCGTGTTAGACGCATAGTAAGACATACTGACTGTGAGCTGATTGTCATCCGGATACTGCACAAGGTTGCCGTCCGTTTGCATTGCGAGAATAAATATTCCCCTCGAGTGGTCAATATCCGAAGCACTAGAGTAGAGATGTAGCCCAGGTGGGAGGCGCTGACCAGGCAAAAGTGTGTCTGTTGAGTGCTCAAAGCTCTGCCATATGATCTGTTGATCGGAGTTATAGAGCACAAAATTGCCCGAATCAAGCATGGAAGCCGAAGAAGCGGATTGGTCAAGGGTAACTATATATATGTCTTGGCCTTGTGTTGGCTGCAAGAGTAATCGGCCATCTGTAGACAGGAGCAAAGTGGCATTGCTGGGAACTATCCGCTGGGGGTTGTCTCTGAGGGCTGTCCAGACCACAGTCTTTTCAGGAATTCCAGCAAGAAATATGCCAGCAGCATAGCCATGGGCTTGCTTGTAGAAGCCAAAGGCGTATAAACCGGAACCGGATAGCCAAGAGGAGTTGGTGCTGGTGGGTGTTAGTGAAGAACCTAAGCTTATATTGGATTGTCTTTGTTGAGCTAACGATGTGTGCAAAGCAGGGAGAAGAAGAAAGAACATGATAGCAATTACCATCTTCTTTCTGTGTTTTCCTTTGCAAGTAGCTTGCTGTTATATACTTCTATGATATCTATTTAGGGGTGTGTTCGAAATAAATCCTTACACTGAAATATCTTTGCAGACAAAAGTAATATAGAAATTAATCTATATCCACTAAAATGTCTTTGCAGTCAAGTCATGTAAAAATTCCTAACGTGTACCCTTTTTTCTTTGTAGTTGATAATTATGATCTCAGAATTCAACCTATATGCTTTGAAGTTTAGAAATTCCTAAGTTTGAACATTCTACTGTCAACTAAGGAAAATTTAATACATGAAAGAAAAAAACTATAAACTCATTCCCCGTCCATTCAGGTTCTAACATCTAATCTTCAACTGTGGAACACTGTTCATCCATCTGAATGTCAAAGAAATAAACTTGGATCATTTAACAATAACAGGAATTATACTGTTGATTTATCAGATCAAACAGTCTAATCTATATACAAATTTAATAAATGTTTATTCTGACTCACTATTGTGACAATCGCGGACTGTGACTCACAATTGAGGACTCCATAGCTACGACTTCAGAGTTGAGACCGAACAAGAGTCTTATTATGACCGATTAATATAATGCTAAGTTAGCAAAACCAACTCAATAATTACCTTCATTTAAGTTTTTTGGGTATTTGATTATCCTTAAATATTTAGAAATAAAAAAATAGTAAAACCCAACAAAACAATTTACTTACTTACATGCTGCACGCGATATAGATTTCGACTTCAATCTCGATTTAAACTTCCGACTTCAATATTGATTTAAACCTTTACAAAAAATAAAAATAAAAAATATACATATTTTATCTATAAAAAAAAAAAAGAAAAATACATCAAAACAAATGAAGCCTTATTATTGTTATTATTATTTTATAGTTAGCTGCTATGCTCATGCTTTAAAATGCAATTGGCTGTGCCTAATTAAGTTTAATCAATGGAGAAAGTCAATAATACGTGGAGTAAGTTGACATCTAATCTTCACACAATAAAAAACGTTTTAAAAATAATTAGTCAATTATCAAGAGTCTGAATAATTCTTCCAAAATTAACTATCTACATCTCAACGTATTCAATTTGGGTCTAAACACGTGCTTTGACATGTTAAACCTGTGATTCGGTTCATCGATTGAATGATCAAGTAATTGCATATTTAAAGTTTAGGCTATTTCAATTAGTATAAAATGCATACACACAAATCAATTTTTAATAATAATAAATATATAATTTGACAAAATTAGTCAAATGACACTATCACTGCATTGTCTGATCTGCATATCTCCGTGGTTGAATAGTTACAGCAAAATAAAAAGCCAAAAGCTAAAATGAAAGTGATGGCAAAGCTAAAAAAAAAAAACCTACATAGTCAAATGAAAGTAATGGCAAAGCTAAAATGATCGCGACAGCTAAAATGAACAATTAATGTTGTAAAATTTATAGCCAAATTAAATCTACCTTAATTATCTTGTGTGTTGGCAAAAATGGGGCTCTGCAACTTTTCCCAGCAGTTTCTTGTAGTGTGAAATTTCACAATTTTTAATGGTGAATTTCACTGGAAAATTCACATATTTTTACTTGTCTATAAAAATAGAAAAATTCATCAATTAACCTTTTAAATTTTCAAAAATTGTGAAGTTCCTGCTGATGAAATCTACAAAAATGATAAATTTGATCAGTGAGTAAAAAAAAAACCTAGGATTTTAATCCAGTTATAATTTCTTAACTTCCTCAAGTAGAATGTCTGAGTACATGTTTTCATATGGACAAAGTGTGCAAAATCTATTGTAATAATGAACTCCTATGTTGATTCTCAGCAATTATCAAACTATTATTTTGATCTTTACCCAAAAGGAAACAAATTACATAAATAATCAAATATCCAATCCCCTTAAAACAAATTCATTTCAACTAAATCTCACCTTTTGCCTTATTAACATACTAGGACAGTGGTGTTACCTACAATTCAATCAGAAACTCATCTACTTCTGTGATAATTTTAGCAGGACAAGTAAAAATGCAATAGTTTCATTCTACAAAACGGTTAGAAACCTACTGTAAATTTGTAACAGAGTAATGGAAGTGATTGCAGAGCATCCAAAGGACAGTGTGACTGACTTTAGAGTTTGAATACAAATACTTTATCAAGGAAAAACAAAGAGGAACTAACCAGAAAAACTATATGGCACTTAGAAAAGAAGTAGGACTGGGAGGTACTGGGATGTCTACAGTTCCTTCCATCATCAATAACACTTTCTTCATTGAAGGGCGGAGCGATGGCTCATCTTGGATGCACCAGAGCCCTACTTTAACCATTCTCTCCAGTTTTCGCTTGTCAATCTGCTCATCGCCCATGAGTTTACCCATCTCACAAGCGTTAAAACAATTGTAAACCCATTCTTCAAGAACAGCTTCATCCTCTGGAAGGCTCCAATCTACACTCCTCCTACAACATATGATCTCTAACAACACAATTCCAAAACTGTAAACATCTGCTTTAACCGTCACGGGAAGTTTACAATGCCACTCAGGCGCAACATAACCCCTTGTTCCTCTGATCCCGGTAAAGGTCTTAGTCTCGTCAGGCTTTAGAAGCTTCGCCAATCCAAAGTCAGAAATTTTTGCACGCCTATACTCATCCATGAGTATGTTTTGGGGTTTGATGTCACAATGGATGATCTGTGTTTCGCACTCTTCATGAAGATAAAGAATGCCTCTGGCAATGTCCAGAGCAATTCTGATTCTTTCATCCCAACTAGGCCGATTTTCAGGCGCGAAGAGTATATCTGCAAGTGACCCATTGCTCATGTATTCATATACCAAAAGTCTGTTAGTCCCATCAAGGCAGTAGCCAAGCAGGCGGACTAGATTCCGGTGATGGGTTTTCCCTATTACTTTCATCTCAGTTTGAAATTCCCTTTCTCCTTCTGCTAACACTTTCTCGAGTCTCTTCACAGCCACCATTTTTAGACTTGACAACATAGACATACTACCTTTATAGACCTTCCCAAAAGATCCACTACCCAACTCTTCCTTGAAGCCATTTGTTACTTGCTCTAGTTCTGCATAAGTGAATGCTCTGGGACCAACATCCTCACCTAATTCAATATTCCCCTTCTCAGAGATCTTTTTATATGCCCACACACGATTTCTATATATAAGCATTCCAGAAATCACTAACACAACAAAGGCCAAAGCAACAAGTAAAATACTGACGATCAGAATGTCCAACCTTAGCTCTTTCTTGGTTTCTTTATGCTTGTCAACTGGGACTCCATTGATGATGCGTTTAGACGTTCCCACCTTGATGAAAGCAACTGTTGAGTCACTCAGCAATCTTCTTCCATATCTCAGTGGAAGCCTCTGCTTTCTGCACTCTCTGTCCGTGTATAGTGCAGCCTCACAGTTACAATCCTCCAAACAGGCTTCTTCACAATCTTCTTTGGTTGGCATTTGTAACACAGAGTATGGAATATTTTCCCACATGGTGTTATCTAATGGCCTCATCGTGTATTCAACACTCTCTTCCTTGTCTTTGCAACTTGGTGCTGTGAAATTCCTCTCGCAGCCTGAACTCCACTTGTCTGGATCAACAAAATCGAATCCTGGAAGACAGTTACACTCAGCTTCCTCATCCATTGTAGTACAAAACCCATTAAGGCCACATAGACCTTTAGGGTCACACTTATCATTTGAAGATTCCCATGGAACTGACCAGTTGCCTTTCTGATCCGAGCTGTGTGAATAAAGCCGGAAGATACCATCCACATCAATTCTCATCAGATACATCATTCCTTTTTTAGGATATCCTCCTGTTAGGTTTTTTAGGACGGAACTTGAGTTTAGCAAGTAGAGATGACCATCATCATCAAGATTGAGGGTCACGTTGTTTCCTACTCCATCTGACCAAGACGTCCAGTAAGAGTAAGGGGCTGTGTCCGGAGTATCAACCGGGTACTGCACAAGGTTCCCGTCACTTTGCATCTTGAGACGAAATAGCCCCTTTGAGTGGTCAGTATTCGAAGCACTAGAGAACAGTTCTTCCCCAGATGAGAGGCGTTGACCTGGCAAAAGGGTGTCGGTTGGGTGCTCAAAGCTCTGCCATATGATCTGTTGATTGGAGTTATAGAGCACAAAATTGCCCGAATCAAGCATGGAAGCCGAAGAAGCCGATTGGTCAAGCGTAACTATATATATGTCTTGGCCTTGTGTTGGCTGCAAGAGTAGTCTTCCATCGCTGGACAAGAGCAAAGTGGTATTGCTGGGGACTAGCCGCTGGGAATTGTCTCTGTTGGCTGTCCACACCACAGTCGTCTTTTCAGGAAATCCAACAAGAAATATGCCGACAGCATAGTCATTGGCTTCCTTGTAGAAGCCGAAGGCATATAGACCGGAACGGGATAGCCAATAGGAGTGGGTACCGGTGGGTGTTAGTGAAGAACCTAAGCTTATATTGGAATATTGTGTTTGTTGTGCTGATGCTGTATGCAAAGTAGAGAGAAGAAGAAAGAAAAATATAGCAATTACCATCTTCTCTCTTCTGTGTTCTCCTCTGCAGCTAATTGTAGGCAACTTGCTGTTTTATTCTACTATAATACAAATTCAGGGGTGTGTTCAACTCCAAATGAATCCTTGGACTATTTTTGTGGAATGAAAAGTCTATGTAGAAAAGTCATAGAGAAACTAATCTACTTCTATGACTATGATGTATAAATCTTTTAGCAGCTTTCACACACAGCGCAATGTGTGGAAGATTTTGTCTCATCTCTTTCTTTTGATAAGGTTTTTGGTTATGAGTCTTTTTCCTATGATGAAGTCTAGCAAGTCTGAACATTTCACAATTTGACTATGATCAACTATGGAAAGTTTAAACATTATAATACATGAAAGACATAATTAAATTATAAAATTCACTCCTGTCTATTCAGGCTCCAACATGTAATCTTTACATGATTAAAAATTAAAAAATAAATAAAAATTAGAAATTATTAGTGTCAATTATCAAGCTTCGTATCAAAATTAATCGGAATAAATTTCTTAAACTTGTTTGGTTTGAAACTTTTCTTCTTTTTTTTTTTTTCAAAAATTAAAGCAATTTTTATTAATGGAAATATTTACAATGGGCCATTGGCCCAAAGTAGTAAAAAACAAGCTAAAAACAAGCCCAAATGGGCAGGCCCATCAACGTATACATGAAAACAAAATGGTAACTGCCATTAACGACAATTGCCATAAACAAAAGAACTTCCGGCAGGTAACAAGGAAAGGCGGCTGAACCGCCAGAATCTCAATCCGGTGGCCTTGGAGGAGGACGGCAACAAGACAGCGAAATGTTCCAATCCTTGAGAATGGATCTTGATGAAGCACAGTCACAAAGGCACCCCAATTTTAGAATTGTATAGATGGTTGAGCAAATCTTGGCACATACAGCTCTCTGGGAGGCCTTCTTCCCTCTAAAAATCTTGGCATTTCTCTCCTCCCAGGTATGGTACACAAACGCTGAAAGCCCCAATTTTCTGAGTAGATTACCTGAATTCTTAGCTTTCCATTTGGCACTTGCCCACTGAACTAAAGCTTCCCAACTTCTTAAGGCTGTAAACATGCTGCACTTGTATTTGATGAAACGCCATAATGGAGAGACAAAAGAGCAATTTAAGAAAATGTGATCATGAGATGCCATGGACTCATTACAGAGGGGGCAAATATTGATGTGCTTGGACATTTACTTGCTGTCAAGAGTTAGCAGTTTAGATTGAACTGCTAACCAAAGTATGAACTTCGTTCTGGGAATTGAAGGAGAGTTCCAAACTAGGTTGTGCCATGGGACAGTGGGAAGGTCCCCCACCAAATGAGGTAGGAGAGGGAATCCATTTCTTTGAAACTTCATATGACATTCCAGATGCAATGTCTATAGCATACCCGCATATATATATATATATATAAACATTCCATTGTTTGGACATATGATTTCTAGTCATATGTCTTGGATTTTTAATTTTTTATCGTGGCAGGTCCGTAGGACATTTCGTAAAGCATTAACGTTGTAGTTATTGCACCTACCAACTTATAAACTGTTCAGGAAGACCAAATCACAGCCACTACCTCTTCCTTTCTAGCTACAAATTTAATGCAAAGAAAAGTCCGTCAAACGCCTTAGAAGTCACAAGTCATGTAGCCTTGGAATCAATTATGACGTGTACATATATTTATTAGACACATTATTATTATTTTTTTTTTGAATTAATTTGATTATGAAACCAAAATTTATGAATAGTTATAAATCAAGCAACACATTTATGATATTTATGAAACCGAAGTACACACTTCTCTTCTATCGCAGTGGTCGCGGTGGCAATGCTTGTAATTGTAATTTGTACATGACTGTATAAGCATCAAATTTTTTGAAAAGTAAATATTATTTATTTATTTATTTTTTATATTTTTTATATGGAGTTTGTTTAATACTAATTGGAAGCATTTTTGGTAATGTTATATTTATTGTAAGATATTTTTTTAAAAAAAATACATGAAAACATGTTTGGTTAAAAGTGTTATAAGTTTGAAAAATAAAAATAACTCGTTAGAAAGGTTATTTAAGAGTTTTTATTATTATTATTATTTATTTTATTTTATTTTATTATATTATTGTTGATTGCTATAATATTTTTACTACAATGCGGAAGCAACAATAAATACCAACACTAATTTGGTACTTCTGATTTTGATTTTTTTTTTATTATTTTTAACATTTCACTATTATTTAAATCGCAGGTTCCATATTTTACTTCTCTATGTGCTATGGAAGCAAATAATAATAATAACAACGACGAAATAGTTGGCAAACAGGGCTTACTTAACCCATTTTAGGAGGACATGACTTTGACGAAAGAACAAAAAGAATTTTAAAATTTAATTCATGAATGCTAAATTTTGCCATATATATATATAAAAGAGAAAACCTATCAATATAAGAATTTTAAAAAGAATTTTAGAATTAAAATAATAATAATAATAATAATAATAAAGCTGTTGATGCGGAAATCCTCACGAATCGGAACGACGGCGTTTACCTGCAAAACAAAGGGAAGTCACCTTGAATGGCACTGGTAGGGTGCCGGCCGAGGACCCTCCGACAATCAAGTTAGTACTTGTAATCGTATCACATAATAATTATGTATATTCTGTTTAGGGGTTTCTTCTCGTACCTTCTTTAACAGCTTGGTGCCCTATTTATGGCTGTCAATTGGAATTAGATTGATCCCGCGGGAGATCAGCTTGTGCGAGATCAGAGGAGATCGATTGTTGCCAGATTTGTGGGGATAAGATTTACTCTTTTGACTTCCTCAAATTGTGCCAAGGTTATCCTCACCCTGTTGAACCACGTCGTCATTTATTATCCTGGATAAGAAATGTCATCATTCTTATCTAAGGAAAATCTTTATCTCTGATAATGAAATATGTGGAAGAGGTCTGGCGGCTGATCAAAGTAGGTTATTTTTCCCTATCAGTTGCTCCCCATTCCCAAGCTTGCTTGTCTAGCTTTGGGAATATCAATTTTTTTTTTTTTTTGGGCCCGGGGAACAGTACCCGCGGGTACTATTGTCACGCCCCAACAATTCCAATAAAATCTTCGATTTATTCAATTTAAATACATCAAAATATACCCAGGATCATAAAAATTACCCCCTCTTTTATACAAAGTTAATTTCCTCAAATACACAAAAAAAATCTCCAAATAAAAAAAAATAAATTCCTGCAACGCCAACTCTTCAACCTAAGCCCGAATCTAGCAATTCCCGTCCATCTTCGATACCTGAAACTGGAGGGTGGTGAGACAAAAAGTTCCAATAGGAAAAACCATAACAAGAATTCCATGGAGGTTTAATAAAACAGTTTCACAACATAAACATATACATTTAATACATATGCATTTAATTAAAAACATTTAATAAAAACATTAAAGCAAAACTTCCCTATGCCATTCAAGGTATAGAGAACCCTACACTGAAAAAGAATTCATGCACTGGATCATCAAGCCACCAAGTTTCCAACCTCTCTTTGCAACTCTCGGCCCTCTCTGTTTTTCCTCAAACTCACTCTCTGTTTTTCCTCAAACTCACTCTGTCTCTCTTTTTGATTTTTCTTCTGTCTTTGTACCAAAATCACAAGCCTAATTTATAGGCAAAACCACCGGCTCAAAATAAACAGCTCACCCATCACACCTCCATCAGACAAACCCAGACAGACCACCCATGTGAACAATTAAAACTATGCCAGCCTAATGCATGCACACAAAAGTCAACAATTACAAACCATTACTCAATCTCTATCTCTTGTGGGCCCGCCAATTCTTTATTTCTTCTTTTCAATTCTACCACCTGCTCCTTTTCCTTCAGATTACTTATAAATATATATATATATATATATATATATATAGATATATCCTATATACACTGGCACAAAATTAATGAAGCCTTTGAAATCTTCATATATATCATATCTCCAAACCACCACAAAAGTAGCCTACGTGCACAACACTAAAACCAAAGAAATTTTAGGTATAAAATCAACCCGTGGGACCCGCCCCACTTTCGTTTCTCTTTTCTCATTTCGGCACCTTCACTTTTAGTAGACAAATCTCTCTCACACACATATAAACTATAAAAAAAATAATAATAAATAAATAAATAAATAAATAAAACTATTATTACACCTCCACTAAACTATATAAAAAAATAATTATAAATTATAAAAAAAAAAAAAAAAATCGGGTTATCACAATCTCTACCACTTAAAAATTCAGATTCAACAGTCCATGTACCCAAAAATATCACTAATCACAAAACCAAATCCATAAATCCTTAACCCAGGCGATGTGAGATACAGTGATATGTAGGACGTTGTGGTAACTGACAGTGCTAGTCACCCGCCCACACACTCCGTAACCGTTGTGGTAGCTAGTCGATGAGTCACCCGCCCACCCACTAAAAAAACAACAAATCTGGGCTACCTGCCTAACCACACCAACTAAACATCACAGTAGCTGCCGGTGAACGCCATCCGCCCACACACACCCGGCTACAAGTGGTAGTTAACCAGTACTACACACTCGCCCACTCACACCCGTCTACATCATCACTACACTCACACTTCCGACTGGGTGCAAGCTCTGATACCATTTTGTCACGCCCCGACAATTCCAATAAAATCCTCGATTTATTCAATTTAAATACATCAAAATATACCCAAGATCATAAAAATTACCCCCTCTTTTATACAAAGTTAATTTCCTCAAATACAAAAAAAAATCTCCAAATAAAAAAAATAAATTCCTGCAACGCCAACTCTTCAACCTAAGCCCGAATCTAGCAATTCCCGTCCATCTTCGGTACCTGAAACTGGAGGGTGGTAAGACAAAAAGTCCCAGTAGGAAAAACCATAACAAGAATTCCATGGAGGTTTAATAAAACAACTTCACAACATAAACATATACATTTAATACATATGCATTTAATTAAAAACATTTAATAAAAACATTAAAGCAAAACCTCCCCATACCATTCAAGGTATAGAGAACCCTACACTGAAAAAGAATTCATGCACTGGATCATCAAGCCACCAAGTTTCCGGCCTCCCTTTGCAACTCTCGGCCCTCTCTATTTTTCCTCAAACTCACTCTCTGTTTTTCCTCAAACTCACTCTGTCTCTCTTTTTGATTTTTCTTCTGTCTTTGTACCAAAATCACAAGCCTAATTTATAGGCAAAACCACCGGCTCAAAATAAATTGCTCACCCATCACACCTCCATCAGACAAACCCAGATAGACCACCCACGTGAACAATTAAACCTACGCCAGCCTAATGCATGCACACAAAAGTCAACAATTACAAACCATTACTCAATCTCTATCTCTTGTGGGCCCGCCAATTCTTTATTTCTTTTTTTCAATTCTACCACCTGCTCCTTTTCTTTCAGATTACTTATAAAAAATATATATATATATATATAGATAGATATATCCTATATACACTGGCACAAAATTAATGAAGCCTTTGAAATCTTCATATATATCATATCTCCAAACCACCACAAAAGTAGCCCACGTGCACAACACTAAAACCAAAGAAATTTTAGGTACAAAATCAACCCGTGGGACCCGCCCCACTTTCTTTTCTCTTTTCTCATTTCGGCACCTTCACTTTTAGTAGACGAATCTCTCTCACACACATATAAACTATAAAAAAACAAAAAACTATTATTACACCTCCACTAAACTGTATAAAAAAATATTATAAATTATAAAAAAAAAAAAATTCGGGTTATCACAACTATTCTCGCGGTACTGTTCACGTGAACAGTAACTCTTTTTTTTTCCCTTTTCTTGCCCTGGGAATAGTACCCGCAGGGTACTGTTCATATGAACAGTAATAAGAAATTTTTTTTTTTTTTTTCCTTCCCTAGGTACTCTTCCCTTGGTTAATGGTACCCGGGGGTACTATTTTTGATACCCTTGGGTATTCTGCCCCTGGGTACTATTTTTAGTACCCTTGGGTACTCTACCCCTGGATACTATTTTTGATACCCTTAGGTAATCTTCCCTTGGGTATTACTTTTAGTACTTTTGAGTACTCTGCCCCTGGGTACTATTTTTTGTACCCTTGGGTACTCTGCCCCTGGGTACTATTTGTGATACCCCCGAATTTTCGAATGCGGGTTGGCCAGGCCCACGCCCGAATACCTGAGGATATCAAAACAAATTGATAATAAACGAACACAGAGTACAAAAGAATAAAGAAGAATAAATAAAATGCTGATAAGAAACTAAAATGATAATCTAATAATAAACCTCAGAATATATTTCCATTAGTTAATAAACTCTTCTGATACAACTGATCCTCCAAAATACTCCAAAATACAACTCGGGAATCCATACTGTGTGGACCCCTAGAAAATCCAAACTAAACAAATGACAGCAATAACTGTCTAAATCAGAAAACTGAATCATAAAGGAACTCCTATGTAGCATCGGAAGAATGAAGTAGACTGATCCTCGCTCAACACGAATAACCTCTACTCCTGACGAACGCCTGAAAAAATAATGGTGGGTCAGGCCCACAAATAAGTTCTACTCTACTACAGTCCAAGCAGAGATCCGATACACGTATACATCCTAGTCAATCCAACAGTAACTAGTAGTCCGTATATATATATATATATATACACACACTAAAGGAACCTCACTAAACTATAGGGTTGTCTCAACCTGAATAGTAGACAACATGCAAAACGCACATATAGTGGGCATGAGTACTTAGACTTACCAGGGTACACAACTACACCATATCTAGCTATACATCCCTGGCGATATACGCGCCCTAACCACCGATCCTGAGACTCAAGCTCATATCATGATACCATACTTATATATATATATAATTTAGTAACCATCCTATCCAGTATAAATTAATCATTCATAAGTCATTCAACTTGTTCAGCTGACCTGACTTGAATATAAGTAGGACTTAACATTTTAGTTAATCTATTCCCTTATATAATAAATTAATCCTCCATAAGTCATTCAACTTGTTCAATTGACCTGACTTGAATATAAGTAGGACTTAACATTTTAGTTAATCCATTCTCTTATATAAAATAGGTAGGACTTAACTAATAAGTTAATCCGTCCCTAAAATGCCACCGTCCCATACCGGTGCATTAAATCACACAATCCAACAATTGATGTAACGATTAAGGAAATACATCAAACAATCCAGAAATAACTATGATAATATGATATCAAGTTATCACAAAATAGGAATGACTTATTATTTATTTAAACTTCCTATATCATATGTCCTACACAAACTGAATCTTATACATGATGATATTTTATTATACCATCAAAAAAGCATTCTCCATATTCAATTCATCCTACACATTTAATCTTAATTGCTAAAATATTTTAAAAGATTAAATCCATTCGTTTGTTTAAAGCATTCAAATAGCAAGCATCATTATGATTGAGTCTATTTAAATTTACTTAAACCCAAACCTAGTTCCTATTTAATGTTCAGAAATCCTAGGCATGTTTCTACGTTCCATTATTCCATATATATGTAAAATATATAATGTAAACATATAAAAATTCACAACGGAAATCAAATCAAAATCATGCATTTATCAATTCATAACACAAGAACAGATATGAACCAATTTCATAAAACCTATGTTCTAATCCAATTAAACATGCAAAATTATTTAATTTTATGTGTTTAATAAATCCTGGAATTTCCTATGTATGCATAGAAACACGAATCAAAGGGAAAAAGATAGAAGAAGAACTTGCCTTAAACTTTCGAATCGAAAGTTAAACTTCTTCTTCCTTGATCTTCTCTCTACAGGGTTTTTTTTCCTCCTTCCTTCTCTAACTCTCTCTCTCTAGAATATATCACGTGAATATTTGTACCCCCTTTTACAACCTATAGCTATATATTTATAGGTTAAATAAAATAACCCTAACCCTTTTCCCAACCAAGTCAACTTAAAAAAAATAAATATTAAAATATTAAAAAGGTAAGTAAAATATGTTATGTATATAATTTATGTATATCTTTATTAAATAAATAAATTATACACATTCCATTATTTATTAATGGATTATCCAATAATACTTAAGTTACCATAATATTATAAAGTAACTTAAAACATAACGCATATCAAATCTATGTATATTTTTATTATTTAAATATAAAACATATACATAAGATTAAATATTACTACCCAAGTCACCATAAAAGTAATTGATAAATTACTTTCCTTTTTATATATATTAAAAAGGTAAGTAAAATATGTTACGTATATAATTTATGTATATGTTTATTAAATAAATAAATTATACACATTCCATTATTTATTAATGGATTATCTAATAATACTTAAGTTACCATAATATTATAAAGTAACTTAAAACATAACACGTATCAAATCTATGTATATTTTTATTATTTAAATATAAAACATATACATCAGATTAAATATTACTACCCAAGTTACCATAAAAGTAATTAATAAATTACTTTCCTTTTTATATATGTATATAATATATATCTATATATATATACATACACAACAATCCATAGGTAATAATTCACACACATCCAACCTCCTATCCAAGTAGTCCATGGGATCCAGTTGGTTGGCCCACTACTACTAACCATAACCATAAAAGAAAAATAAAATAAAATAATAAAAGAAAAGAAAACATTTAATTTATAATTAATCAAAACACCATTTAAGCACATAATCTAATTAAACAATTAACACATAGACAAATACAAATAATACATAGACACATAATCAAATAATCAAGAAATACCTAATTCAATTAAACACATAAATAATTAGTCTTATTAATCAATTAAATAATTAACAATACAATTAAAATAAATAAATAAATACCGAGACTATCCTTTTAAAATTAGGGGTATTACACTATTTTTAGTACCCTTGGGTAATCTTCCCCTTGGGTGCTCTGCCCCTGGGTACTATTTTTAGTACCCTTGGGTAATCTTCCCATGGTAAGGGAATAAATTGTACGAGCTTTACTCAACTCGTTACTCCTTCAATAAGAGAATTAAATTTTACGAGCTTTACTCAGCCCGTCCCTGTAGTAAAGGAAGTAGGTTTTATGAGTTTCACTCAGCCCGCCCATTTAGTAAGGGAAGTAGGTTTTACGAGCTTCACTCAGCCCGTCCTTTTAGTAAGGGAATTATGTTTTACGAGCTTCACTCAGCTCGTCCATTTAGTAAGGGAATTAGGTTTTACGAGCTTCATTCAGCTCGTCCCTTCAGTAAGGGAATCATGTTTTACGAGCTTCACTCAGCTCGTCCCTTCAGTAAGGGAATTATGTTTTACGAGTGTCACTCAGCTCGTCCCTTTAGTAAGGGAATTATGTTTTACGAGTTTCACTCAGCTCGTCCCTTTAGTAAGGGAATTAGATTTTTTTGTTACTCCTTTGGTAATGAGTTTGTAATATGTTCAAGCTTCACTCAGCATGCCCTATTGATAAGGGAAATAATAATACAAGACACTTGTTATCATCCCTTGTAATACGGGGATATTGATTACGGGATTATTTCGGCTCGGGTCCTTATAATACAGGTGTAATACCCCTAATTTTAAAAAGGATATTCCTGATATTTAATGGTATTTAATTTATTATTTAAGTGCATTTTATTTGATTATGTGTCATTATTTTTTTTATTAGGTGCTTAATTGTTTTCTTTTGTGGTGATTTAATTTATTTAAATGATATTTATTTTTAGTTATTTGATTGGAATTACTTGTTAGTATTTTAATTATTTAATTGGCATTAATGGTTTAAGTGTAATTGGTTTAATTATTCTATGTGTGTCTTATTTTATGTGTGTCTTATTTGATTTAATTGGGTTTACTAATTATTATTTTGTTCAATTAGATTATTTGTTAAGTATTTAATGGTGAATAGGGTAAATAGGTAAATACATCTAACTAGGGTTTTAATTACAGTATAAATTAGGGTTTTATATTATAGCCGTCGTAGGTTTCTACGTTAATTGGATGGGCCGGTTAGGATTGTGAGTTAGACTTAAATGAACCTAGGGTTTAGGAAAACTCAATAAGTATAAGGTAGACGTCTGTGTAGGGTTTTTTTTAAACAAAGCACACGTT